GCCGGCCCGCGGGTGGGAGGTGCGGCCGCGGGGCGGGAAAACTTCCCCTCAGCGCGGGGTCCCGCCGGGACCCCGGGGCGCTCGGGCGGCGGCGGCCGCCGCCTCTGCCCTCTGCCCGTGCCGGGGGTCAGCCCTTGCCTCGCCGGCGTCTCGCAGAGCGAAGTACTCTTTAAAAATGCATCGCTAGTCCAGCCGTGCTTCCAGAAGAGCGAATACCGTGGGGGTTTTTTTAATGACTGTGGCTGCACCGGGCGATTGCCTTCTGCTTGCAAGAGGGAAAATGCATTTGAGCCAGTAAAACGGGTTTCGGGGGGCGGGAAGTAGCGGGAATTTCTCTCTGTACTGGGGATATATGTATCTTCCCCCTCACGTCGTGCTTGCTGGCCAGTGGGTAAAATAATGGACGCGCGTCCCACCTCTTGGCACTCGAGCGCCGACGGCTTCTGCGGGCAGGTTTGCTCAGTGTCCTCCGTCCTCTCGGCGGCCCTCTGGTTTGAGCCGTGCTTTGTTTTGGCACGGGAACCTGCCTCTGTGGAGAAGCGTGTTGGAACACAGCCGAAATAATTCTGGATGTGGGTTGGAGGTCCCCAGATAAACGACGTGCTTGAGTTTAGTTTGCCTGAAAGCAAAAAAAAAAAACAAAACCCAAAAAAAATTCCTTTTTACGTCCTGTGTCAGAATCTGAGAATGGTCATATTTACAACTTCTCTTATAAACCAAGAAATAAACCTCACTTACCGCTTCTCTGTGAAGGGCATGGGAAATCATCTGTAGACAGAGCAAACAAAAATACCAGGAACAAACGTGGATGAAAGGCACCAGTCTTACCTGTGCCAAGAAGCAGGGTTCCTTAAATTAACTAGTGTGTCTCCTAGGTAACAATATGTTTAGAAAACTACAAGATTTTGTTTTGAAAATTGGGTGTAGTGATGTAGGAAGAATGTAAACTCCCAAAGCATACCAGATTCCTCCTTTTAAAAAGCTCTGATACTGTCGGAATAAAATCCTGAATACTCCAGCCTAAAATGCAGCATTTTAGGGCTCATCTACACAGAGAAACATAATAGCGTACTTATGTGCAGAACTCTAATGCTACAATAACTCCATATGTGTATTTTTCTGTAACTGCAACCATTTATATCGGAAATGATGATGGTACAGTTTTAAGGTTAAATGTAGAAACCTCTCATTTGGCAGGTGATGGCTTTTTGATATCAAAGTAATTTCACTACCTAGAATACCGTGCAGCCCTGCCCGGCTCAGATCTCTAGCAAACAGGTCTGTGTAACCATTCTCACGCAGCAGTTGCTTGGATCTGATAATGCACATCTGGCATCAGCAGGCCCCTTAAATTACTGTATTTGCTCCTCCAAAGAAATGTTCGCCCATTTAAATAATACAGTAGAGCAGTTAGGCTTTGACTGTGGTTTTTTCAGTGGGATTTCACCATATGCAGCAGTACACAGTATAACAAACGATTAAAATGCAGTAGGTTATTTAATAATATTGCATTTTGTCTTCATCCTCTTTTCTCACTGTGCGCCGTGGCTGCTGGTTACAAGCTTCTAATAATGGAACAATAGTCTAATATTTATTACGCTGATATGTTATACGTATTTTTAAAAGAGAAACCTTAATAGAATAAGTCCACAGGCTTGCCTTTTTATTCAGCTGTTTTAGGAGTTACTTCAAGTTTTGAACTGTCAGTTCTGCCTTCTCATAATGCAGCTCTGAGAAATGAATTAATAGTTCTGGACTGCAGATAGGTTAAAGCGTAAGGCCTTATTCTTGCAAATGGACATACTGGTAAATATTTTAGCCTCTGTAAAGGCTGAGAGATCTGTGTTAGCTTATCTGCTTACAGAAACGGTGCCAAACTCATTAAGAACATTGCAGGCTACCCTCATTTTCATCTTTGCCAAAAGACAGAGGCAGAAAACAAACCTAAATAGCTGTGAAGATTTATGGATCTTTTCTTGTGTGATGTTACATTCATAAACAGCAAAGTTTGTGATCCATTGTTTGCATGGATTTTATGCTCAAAATACTTACAGTAATTACAGCATTTCTTTATTTCTTAATGTATGCATCAGCCATATGTCAGAATAATTTTTAATCAGAATAATTAAATATTTTTGTTTACTATTAAGACTACTTCAGAAAAGCTATTCTTGTAAAAAATTGTTTGTTTTGCTCTGTTAAGCTGCATGGTAAGACTTACCATTTTCACTTTGTCAGCTAATGCGTGAGTCTTGCTGGTATGAATTCAATTTGCTGGAGCTGAATGCATTTCTTCTGTCTATTAGAAGCATATTCCCATATCCTTCTGATCTCTGAAAGAAGTAATTTATATGATCTAAAGAAAATGTAACAATTCTGTGTAAAATGCTTGAAAGCTGTTGACTTCCTTTCCTTGGCTGCTTTTCTTTGTCATTGCTCTGATTTTATAAATAACATTTTAAAGAAGATGTGGAATTATAATGCATAAACCTCAGGCAAAAGGTGCGTGTTTCTCTCTCACTTCTTTTTGGTACTTAATTCTAAAATGAAGTAACTCAGTAACTATACATGGAATTAAATTTTAAGTGATAGAACACTGTGGGGCATTTCTTGACATTTGTTTGTCCTCCTGCTAAGTGTATATCCAGTTTGTTTACAGTGAGGAACTAACATCTTAAAGGATGCTCTAAGCTGTACTATATATGCCTTTTTTTTCTTTATTGAGAATCATTTTAACTTACACTGTCACTTGGAGCTTTTATCAAATAGCATTCGGTTTCGTATGTTCATTGATAGGTGGGTTGTTTCTTTAGTTTTGTGTTGGTTTTTTTTTCAAACCATTGAGCTGTCTTTTGTTTTTCCAGTATTGCTGGCTTGTCATTATAAACTTTGTGCATTATGTAGAAAACTATTTTTTTGAATGCTAAAGACACTTCTATGGAGTATCATTAAGCTTTCCAACATTTTGACTATCAACACTTCCAATTAGTACAAAAGCTGTATTTACTCTTTCATCAATATGATCTCACTTACTTGTAAGTCTTTCCTAAAGTTAAGATTTTAAATACGAGTTTAAGGCTTTTAGTATTTAATCCAGCACTTGAAAGTGCATGACCATATGTGAAGTAGTCTTGTGTATCAGACAAGAGCAGCAGAGTGCAAGGACTGTATTTGAGTAAAGTAACACAGTGTTGTTGATCAGTCGAGACATGGCCCTGAAAATACTTTTTTTCACGGTTTTCTGTTAAATAAAAACTTCCTTTAGCTTTTTAGTGTGCTTTCATTTTCTTTTTCAGAGGCCGGGCTGTTGTTCAAATTGCCAACTCTATCGTCACTTAAATTTGAAATACCGTAGTGATGAGTGAATGAATCTTTTTCCAGGACAGAATGACTAAAAAGGAGATCTTGTGCAATTTTGCTCTTCGTCTTGACATTGCAACAGAATTTGTCTGTTACATTTTCTCATATGTCTTTGTGATATTTTGGATTCTTTTAAATCAAACACAATGAAATACCATGTACCAACTCTGAATTTAGAAATACACTCCTCTTACAGTAGTAAATAACTCTCTGGTTACATTCCTGGTAGTTCAAAATAGCTAATGTTGGTTTTTGTTGTACTGTCAGTCTCCTCTGAATTTCTCATCTAAGGCATCTTTTTAACAATAGAACTGTAGAGTTTCTCTTTTTTATGAAATAATCTTTGCTGATCGTATGCAGACTTGTCCTGCAGCGAGTGCCTGTTTTGTATTTAGTTGTCTCTTGAATTACTGAAATTTCTTTCTTCAAGGCCTGTGCAGCAGATCCTGAGAAGCATCAGGCTTATTGAGAGTAAAGGGAAGGAGATTATTTTGTCATCTCTATATTCACATTAACATGATTTTGAAGTGGTAGCTCTCATATCTATTTCCACAGAACACTGTGGATCTGAAAAAGAAGGAAAATGCTTTTCCTGCTGTACGCACACTGCAGTCAGATGTGTGATTATTATAGCTTGTGTAGACATGCTTGTGTTAGCTTTAATCTCCCTAGTTCATGTACCAGCAGTAGCAAAGCTGTGGTAACACAGTCCTCGATTAGGGGTATGCAGGCTCATTTTGTTGTACATTGGATGCTTACTCAAATTAATTGCCTACAGTGACGTCCATGTTTCTGTATTTTAACTGTTTTGTTACATGAGGCTAACAAAATCAAGTGTAATTTAAGTATATCCAACATACTGCGGTCGTATCTCCTAATTGCAGTGCAGATGCAGCCTGTAAGGCAGTGAGCCCTACCCCCTCATTCTTCTGAGAGACGATTAGAAAGGTCTGCTCTAGTTTGATAGTTTTAGGATGGCCCTTGATCAGAAATTTGCAGGAATCTGGAAATGCTCAAGCACACTATATGTAAATGAAATACTAAAAAGCTAAAATTCACAAAGGAAGCATAAAAAGAAGCCTTGCTCCTGCAGTCCAAGCCTTTGTGGAATCCTAGTGAAATCAATTCCTTAGTGCTCTGGTGTATTTTATGTGTAAGCCCTCATCCTGCAATCAGATCTTAATGAAGGAATTCTCCTTTCTCAGCATGTGTTAACTCCTATTAAAAAATCAACACAGTAATCCTTGGCTAAACAGAAGTGGGAAAGTGTTTGCAAAAAAAGAGGTAAAACCAGACGTGGTCAGAATCACAGCATTTGTCTGATTATCAGACTGGTAAGCCAGCAGAAAGATAAATACACTTATGGGAAAGGACTTCTCCGTGTAGCTCATTTCTAAAACCTCCCTGTAAGAAACATGTTTAAAAGGTGGAGCCTGCTGTTAGGAGCAATTGTTAGTGGTGCGCAGGAACGGACAGCTTGTCAGGATATTGGCATTTGGCACATACTGCTCATATTGTGAGGTACTTCTGTAAATTCATTAAACTAGAGTTTCTTCCAGGTATTTTAAGAATAGCAATTCAAAAGGCCTTTTACACACTTTTCACTCAGGATAGGAGTTCTTATTTTTGTTGGACATTTTTGCAAAAGCTGCAGAAGATCTTTAGTAAAAGTAGGAGCATTGAGGAAGCAAGTGATTCTGTTACTCCAAATCCTGTTTAGCAGCAAGATGCTAAATTATTTTAGTTCTTTGACCTGTGCAAATATATTTCTTTTCATTTTGATCCTCCCTTTGTATTTGAGGATTTTGGATTACTCTTTGTGTAGTGCTTTTATACTTTCAAAAGTGATGTAAATTTATGTGAAGAAGCTGGTGTGCAAGAAGGTAGCGTGTCAGTTTGAGTACTGCAGCCATTCTGCCCAGACTGTGATGCGGATGTTGTTTGTGTACACTGAGAGCTCAGTGTAAGTCAATAATTAGACCGGATCTAAGGGACAGATGCCATCGAGGGAAAAATTCTGGCTGTGTATTCCGACTGTTAACCCCCAGTGGACTGGTTCAGTGAGCTAACTCAGAAGAAAACTTTTCCTTCTAAGCAACCTGGTGGCAGCTAGCCATTAAATCAGTTTACAAGTAGTGTGAAATTATAGCTTGGAGCTGTAGTGTGACATGTTTAATCTAGCAATGCCAGTTTCAACACATTCCCTAGATATCGTATCCTCTCAGTTCTCTGTTCTGCTTCCTCCTTTGAGCTCAGTCCTCCCCCCACAGACATTAGCACTCATTCTCAGGGCAGAGGGAAGTAAACCACCAAAGCAGCTTTTTTTTTTTCTTTTTTTTCTTTTTTAAAATTTATTTAGTGTGTGTGCTAGGATACCTGTTAGAGTTTATGATTCACACAAATCCACCTAGACACAGCACAGGGAGTAACACAGTGGTGAGGACAGATGCAGGGGAGTTGTGGCAAGCTGGGGCTCCCTCCACTCCCAAAGTGTTGGCCTGAACACTTTCCCAGGACTGCCTTTCTGTGAAGCAGTTTTCCCCATAGTGTATTTTGCATCCAGTTGAGGTGGCGTTGCACTTGCTTCTCCACACTATTTCTCTTTGTGGGCCAGTTTAGTCACTTCTTAAAAACGCACAGCATTACTCTGAATTTTATCCTTTGGCTTGTTTTCAGGAGATCCTTTGGTAAATGCTGGGAGGTACAGAATTTTCTAAGCAGGTAATGCACTTCCCAGCTAGTACTGCAGCTACTGTGCCTGCAAGATGGGACTGTTAGAAATTAAATAAGCAAGTTTGGTGCCTTGCTGCTGCTGCGAGAGTAAGGAAGTAGGTGCCTGACTTGCTCAGGAGTTACTCCGCATGTCTCTGGTGGCACCTGACCTGTAAATGTTTAAGCCAAACCATTCACATCAGGCAGCTGTTTTACTGAAATGTGTATTTAGCAAATGTACACTTTTTGGTGTTGTCTGCCTCCATCCCCTGATATATTGCTGTACATAGGTGAGCACTGAGAATGTGAGTGTTGAATAGATAGACGTGGGGACTCCTTTCATGGCATACTTTACCATGTATTTTCAAGATGCAAGTAATGATTTCTAAGTGCTAGTCATGGGGGATTTTTTTTTTAAGCATAAAGTGATTTTTTTTTTCTCCCCCTTGCTCTCTGGAAAAGGAGATACAATTTTTCTTTATCAGAAATTATGCCTTGAAATTACAGGTTTATATGCAGGTGATCTGTTTTGGTATTTAAGTAATATATCTGTTCCAGGCAACTAGTTTGCAAAAAATAAAATCTTTCCTTTTAGGTTTGAATTTTAATCCTTGTATTTTACAAGGATATTTTTTCAGCAGGAGGAAGAAAAGTATTGCTGTGGTGCTGCAAGGCCTCAATTTTTATTGACCAGTTACCGCAAGCACAGCAATTTACAGCAGCCGCACAGTTGGTGTTTAAAGTTCACTGGGGCTACAGCTCCCCCGGCCATAAAAATAATTTATATCTATGTGAATACTGTTGGCATTTTTTTCCCTTCAGCTTAACGAAGAAAGCCAGGGCAAACATAAGGTGCCTCCTGCCTGCATGCATGCAGGTTTGGAGGGGGCAGCCGGGGTGGGGATGGACATGCGAACAGGGATGTCAAGGTGGCGGCTGCGCTGGTGCTCCTGCGGACAGCAGTGGGCTGCCACCTCGCCTCCTCACATCCCTCCAGCGTCTGTTGCCTGCAGGCTTTAATTGCACGCCACTGCTGTGGAAATCATCGTTTTACGGAAAGATGGGAAGTGCCTGTGTTTCAGCATGAGCATGCTTTGCTGTTTGATTTAACGTAGGTGCTATGAGGTGCTGAGGGATTTATGGTTGGGGGGGGGGGGGGTATTCGGAGTGCCACAGGTGGGGTCTGTTGCCAAAAGGAGGTGGGTCTTTTCTCTGTGCGTGGGTGCAAGTCAGGCTCCTGCTATATTGCAAAGTCATCAAACAGGTAGCTTTCCTGTGAACACTTAGTTTGAGAAAGAACAGTAAAGAGCTGCAGATTATGGGAACACTGCTGAGCAAAAAGCCTCAATCTTTGTATGTCTTGTTGCTTAACACCAGAGAAATAATAATATCTAGTTCAGTAATACTTAAAAGAAGATTTGGTTCACTTTAAACCATTTAAAGTTGTTCTGTTGACAGGTAATATTTCCAACGTTCAGCAGAAAAGTGTATGTTTATAAAAGCTTTAAATTTTCTTGCATTTCAGATCGCCTTTATTTTGCAATTCTCTGCCAAAAACCAAAGAGTGGAGCTGCAAATACCCATTATTTCTGCATAGATGATGAACTTGTATATGAGAAGTAAGTACAGACTTATTTTTTCCTGTTTTTTACAGAAATAAATTAGTCAGAACAACAGCAATGAGGAACCAGTCTAATTGACATTCTGTTTTCAAATGTAGCTGAGGGAAACATACTATTCCCATTATAGAACTAATTACATGAGTTTGGTCCTCTCAGATTTATCTGCCATGATGATTTATATGTCTTAGAATGGTTTCCTGGCTTCCCATCAGGATTTCTTAAAAATCTTTTCAAAGCAGAAGCTTTCACTGTACCCATTCTTGTTAGAAGACAGTAGCATGATGCAAAAATATATATTCAGAAGTGCGCACTGGACTGCTGAGCTGAAGGGGATGTCTTTGGTTCCTCACGTATTAAGTGGAATCTTAAGTCTAAACTTCTGAGAATAAGAGAAGAAACTGGCAAAATCAATTCAAGCCTTTATGAGCTGACAATGGATATATTATTTCCGCTATAGTGAACAGTGTATGCCTTTGTATGTGATCTGGAATGCTACTAATTCTTTAAATATTTTTGACCAAGGGTGTGCTTACTGTTTTTGAAGGTACTAATCAATCTTTATTCTCTGTGTTCACTTTTCTCTGCAATATTAATTGCCTTCTTTTAAAGTAAAGCTTTTGGGTTTCTCTTAAAATAGAGTTTCTAAACTGATGTCACAGAGTGATAAGGTAGTGAGAATTTTTTGAAACCTTGAGTATTCCAGTTTGGTTTTGAATGGTGATGTGTGTGGAAAACAAAGCAGAAAGGTTGAGTCCCTGTTTAAACATGACAATACTGCTTCCTCCAACAAATTATGTATGTAAGAAGGCATTCTCGTTTTTAAAATGATGCACATATATCACATATGTATTATTACTCCTTGCTTTGTGCATCTGATTAAAAAAAAAAAGCAGTTACAGAGGTCATGTACAATTTTTCCCCTTTTTCCTACCAGCTTCTATGCAGACTTTGGACCACTCAATCTGGCAATGGTCTACAGATACTGCTGCAAGCTAAATAAGAAATTAAAGGTAACACTTGGGGTTTTTATTCAATATTCTTGACTTTTTAAAGAACAAAAACAAATGGGCTTTTTTTGTTCAGTTGCTTTCCTGGGTTCCTAATCGAGCTAAGTTTTGAATATAAATGCTAAATTTTATCAAGGCAAATTTAGGGAGGAGGAGGATCAGGAGAGAAAAAACACTTACTTTTAAGATCCAGAAGATGCACCCCTGTGGCAGTAACTAATGTTAAGCTCCTAAAAGATAAGTTGGTAAATGGGTACAGACTTCTTTAAATGAAAAGCTCCCGTCCTGGAATTCAGTTTTCTTGGCAATCTGCGAGCATTGAGTGAGCTTGAGGGAGCAATGCAACACATTTTTATTTGAGATGTTTTTTGTTTGATTTGGGTTTATCTTCTGGTCCTGACATACCTGGTAAGAAGCAACATTTGATCTTTGATAGTGTTCATGGCATTGTCCTGAAGGAGACTGCCATGCCTCTACTGCCAATTAGCTTCTCTGAGGGGTGCTTAGTAATTTTGGGGATTGGGATCTCGATAGAGCATAGTGTCTTTAAAACAGAGAGTTCTGATATTAGTTAACATGAATGACTTCAAATTAGTTGACCTCTAACAGATGTTGGAATGTAAAACCTGTTAGGCAGATAAAAAAGCTTATTAGCATTAATGTGAATCACAGTTTGCCTCTTCAAAACTGCTTAGATCTTGAAACTGCCACTGAACTGTGAAAATTGGGAAGTATGCAGAACATTATAGTTTAACAGAGATTGGGGTTTTTTTTTCATTCCTTGATGTCTGTCACTGGTATTAGTTTGCATAATTCAGACTTCCTTTGTCCCTGTGGCACTACAAACAGGTTTGCTGGAGACAAGATTCTCTGATTTTTGTTTACAGGGTGCTCTGAAGCAACACAAGTCTATATTACAATCCCTTTGAATATCTTGGGTTTGATATTGGAGAGGTGCTTTAGGATTGCTGAGAACATACTACTGCTAGTGATCTGGGGTTTATTTGTCTTGAGTGCATTGAATAGTATCTGAGCAAGTAACATTGCTATTTAAATAGTGACATTTTATGATAGCTTAGCAGTTGATCAAAGTATACAGTTTCAAGCGCATCAAAATTTGTTTCAGGGGCCAGTTAGGAGATAGTGTTTGCTGCCACCACAGATGTAAGTGTCCTTTCTCTTGGCAATGCCATTCCACCCCCTTTCTAAGGTAACTGGAGAAACTATATGCCAAGCCGAGATGAAATTTTAAAGTTATTTATGATAAAGTTTAGAAATACTTTAAAAATATTTTAATCTAAGCATGTATTTTCCAGTGGTTCTGATCCTTAGAAACAACTACTAGTTGATTTATCTAGAGTCAGGTTTTCTTTAAGAATAAAAAAAGTCTAAATTCTGTTTTCAAAACTATTGTGACTTTAACATGCCTGTGATGTTTTTGAGAATGCCACTTTATATTTACTTCTCAAAAATGCCTATTGTTACATAGGGCTTGAAGTTAGAAATACTAAATGCATTTAAGGAGAAAAAGAAATACTACTGTAATTTGTATCAAAAATTATTTAGGCTGGACACTGGGAAAAATACTGGAACAATCTAGGTAGGAATGCAATAGAGTATTCCAAAGCTTTTGAGGGACTAGTCTACAGTATACTTGGTCCTCTGAATACAGGTGGCTGAAAGTAGGTGAACAGACCCTTGCATTCCTCTAATTTTATAAAAGAAAGCATGAAAAGTCTAAAATGCAAAATCATAATCTTGTTCATTTCTTGATACAGTCATTTTCATTGATAAGGAAGAAAATAATTCATTATACTGGCTTTGATCAGAAAAAACAAGCAAATGCTGCATTCCTCATAGGCTCCTACGCAGTAAGTATTTAAATTTTTACATTGCATCAGCTTGCTAAATGTGTTCATTTTTTCATACTCAATTTTTAAGACAGCAAGATAAAAACAATTCTTTTCTCTTGAATAATCTTTCTACTAATGTATTTTATAGTAAGGTACCACATACTAAGACAGTTTTTAAAATATAGTAGGTATGTGAATGGAGTTGAATGGTTTTGGTTTTTTTCCTCTCTACTGCAATCTATGCTCCTAAGAAGTAAGAGCACCACTGAAAAAAAAAATCCTTATGAGTATTTTAATTTAGAAAAAAGACTGCTTCTTGATGTTTTTCCTTTCCCCCACCCACACATACTCTCTTTTTTTCTTTCTTAAAATAGAGAAATATTATCTTGCACTAAGTACAGTATATCATTTGCCATTGCATGCACATTTAAATATACCTTTTCTTCCCCAGCTGCTTCCTTTCTAATGTAAGGTGGTCTCTTCAGTTAACCTAGGAGAAGGAGTGAGATCATGTGGTAGGCTTAGAGCTAGTATAAAGCCTGGGAATATACCAGGTGGCTGGAAGTGTACTGAGCCAGGTGCCTGACTGCAGAGGGGAAGATGACATCACAGCTGCATGTGTTTGGTACACAAAAGTGTAGTCAAGGAATAAAATGCTGAATGCTTCAGAATGGAAGATGTGATGTACCATATTCAGGTTCTGCTTTGACTTGTAACACACTTTGATTGTAACCATCTCTCTTGTTTACTGAGTAATAAAATGAAGTGAGAACTTATGCATTTTTTGATGTTAGAGATTTGAGGGGTCAAAGTTCATACAGCCTTAAGTCATTCCTATTTATTAGCTGCAAGCCTATACAGTACTTGCTGTGATGCTGGTAGTCTCCTTGCTACCTCTCTACATCATGCAGGAGGTCCATTTCCTGCTCCCCAGGTTTTCTCAGTTGTCTATTTTCTACAGTACTTACTACAAATTAGAACTAGATTTCAAAATACATCACCCTTGATATTTGAAACACAGGCGCTTAGGAATGTTGCTGTAGACCTTTGCGTTCTTAAACCACTTGGAAACTGGCAACATGACTTACTAAACCTGTTTGCAGTTAAGTCATTATGTTAACAAAACAGCTGCAGCTTTTAGGAAAACTTCTTCCTAGTGACTTGATCATAATGGAGGCCCAGAAAGCGAGAGGGGACTGGTTTCAGTTATCAGCCGTTATTTGGAAGGAACTGGGTTTTGTTTTTCCCTAAACTTTTGTTCTGAATATATGTAGTAGTGTTGCGCAGTGCTGCAGCTGACATTTTGAGCAGAATCCACATTACGGAAAATTAACTAAGGGCAAAACAATCTAATATGAAAATACTGTGGTTGACTATGTAAAAGTATACAAAAAACCTAACACAAATCTTATTTCTGATCATTCAGTAGCCCTGCCATGTTGCAATAACAACATGCAATTGAAGAGGAATGCTTGGACAGACTTGAATAAAGCTCTAAGATTAATATGGATGGATCATGACAGTCCAAAGCCTGATAATTAAAAATGGAGGCTGTTGGACAGAGGAGTAGGCAGTTTTTGCTTCAAAGAACTGCAGTGAAGGAGGTAGGAATTACAGAGTACAGAAAGAATGGTAACACAGATCCAGCTGAAGTATGACACGAGATCATGACTGACTAGCCATGCATGTGGGAGGGCTAGTTGCAGACAGCTGGTGTATGGCAAGAAAAGGCTAGTCCAAACCACTGCTAATTTTCAGAGTTCAGAGACTTGTGCTTAGGTTATTGCATTGTATAGGTTGACTAGTTCAGCAGTTTCCCTTAAAGACCCATGGCAAAGTGAAGGACTATGTGAATATCATCCCCTCCTTGAATGGGAGCATGTCTGTTTTGCCGAATCATAAGTCGTAGGTGGTGAGGTAGCTCTAGCAAGATGCTGATTTTTTTTGCAGTGCAACAGACTTCTGCTTTGGTACTGCTTTTTCTATAAAGTAGGGTATGGTTTCTTCCCAGATTGATGTGGGAGGGATTCCAGTGAAGGAAGATCACAGAAGAAAGACTGTGCCCCTGAGGCTTACTTTTTTTCCTTGGCGCCCTTTGATGATCTTTCATGAAGAGGCAGGCTTAATTACAGCACTCACTCCTGAAGTGTTCAAAAATATACATCCCACATTTCCGCTTTCTGCAGGGAGAATTGAATTGTTCTCTGTGGGGTGAGCCATAGTATAAGATCTGTACAGAATGCATGATAAATATACGTCTGTAAGCATATTTCCTGATTGGAAGGAAATATATCGAGGCCTTTTTTATTTAAAACTTAAATAAAGTGGGCTTAAGCATCTACCTACTTCTTCAGTTCGGAGTGCTTTGCTTTTTGATGAAGAAGGATCCATCCAGCTCTTCGTCAAAACTTTAAGAAGCTCTTCTGTAATTTAAGTTAATCAGACCATGTCTGGTTGGTAATGCTCTTTGTTGCTTGAACTGAGTATCATCATTTAATTTCTGATCCCATACAGTCTAAGTGGTAGATTGCCACTGTATTTTGTTTTCTGTGGGTTGAATGTGTTTTCTTGTTTGATTTTGGTTTTTTAGCTTCATGGTGGGTTCCCATTTCAACGGTTTACCTTAGGTTGAAGATGGCAGTGCGTCAGGTTGGAGGAGTTCAGGTGGGAAGAGCAAGGAAGGAGAAAGGGAAAGTAGCCTTCACAGAGTTAGTCATGAAAATAGTGCTTGTCTGCATGTGTTGTAAGGCCTCTGATAACTTAAGCATAGTTTTGGGTGCAAGGTGCTCTGTAGATGCAGGTGTTTTAAGTTACTTCTTAGAAATAAGTCTGCCACATTTTCAGGAATAGCACAGACACAGTTAAGTGTGTGCTTTCTGCTTTTGTTCTTTTTTTTTTAAATGCAGTCACGTTTTAACTATAAAACTATAATGAACTGTATATAACTAGTTCTTCTCTGGAACTTGTGTGTCCTCATAAACATTCAATATTTTTATGCTAGCAACTTCCAAGCCTTTCATTTTAAGGGCTTGTTGACCTTAAATTTGTATTCTTCAACAGAGTATTACTTAACTTCTGCTTAAAGCAATTGGGATGTATTAGCATGGTTTATCATTCATCACCTTTTGTTTATATATATGTGTGTGTGTATATATCATGTGGGGATATGCTCATTTTGACTACTAAGGGAATCAGGAAAGCCTTCAAGTGTAAGGGCAGCTGTTAGTGTTCTGGTTTACAAGCAAAGTCTGCTCCCAGTCTTTTCTTCACAGTTGGTGTGTTTCAGTATTTTCCCCTCTCACCTGCATCTAACTTCTCTTTCTTTCCTCTTCAGTGGAGATAGTTTCTGAACTCTCCAGGCTACACACTTCTTTCTCCCCTCTCCTGCATCTGCTGCTTCCTTCCAGGTGTACTTTGATGTGACAGCACAGCCTAATTCAAGCTACAGGGCTCTTCAGTATAAGATGGTCTTAACAGTGAAGAACAAAGTTTTCAAATACATTTATATATATGTAGCTTTAGAATAAAATATGATTTTTTTTTTAGAGTAAATCTTAACAATTTAGATCTTAATACCTTTATTGTTCATCTTTCATCTATTTTAATTCTGTATTTTGTTTCATTTTTACAGATGATATACTGTATAATGAGAATAATACTCTTCTGTGTAGATTAGCATAGATTTGGCAAGTTCAGCCACACAAAGGGTAGCCAGAATTCCATGTGTTGGGGTTGAATGTTTATACTTAATTTGGGCGGAGGGGGTGAGGGGAAAGAAGGGGGGGCGGGAGGGAAACCCCACCTTTGTTCTTCACTTTTTAAAGAAAAATTGCTTTTCCTTGGAAGCTATCTTCACTGTTCAGGCCTTACCACTCTACCAAAGCAGCAGTGATCTGAGTTGATCTCTACAGTGGCTTCTCTTGATTTTCACCAGGACTTGGCTGTGGGTGAGGAAAGTCTGCTTCTTCCATCATTGCTCCTTCTATGTTAAGAAAGAAAATGTACCCTCTGTGCCCTACCAACCCAATTCCCAAGCTCCCCCCTCTCCCCTTGGCTGCATTAACTTAGTAACAGTGTTTTTTTTCTCAGGCCTGGCACTAATTATGTACTTGGAGGGTGACCCTCCGAGGGTACCACCCCATGAACTGCTGTAATTCAGGTCACCTTCTCCAGGACTCATCTCTGTACTTTGTCTATTTTCTCATCTTCTTTCTTCAGGGTAAGCAGCGTTTCCTTCATCTGTTCTGATCTGTAGTACTGTTTTTTTTGCCTTTTCAATTTGTTAGTGTCCTTCCTACCTGTGGGCCTAATACTGGGTAGAAGCTGGAGGTTGCAGAAGCAATTAGCACCAGTCTGTGTGATGTTAACTGCTCTGTTCTTACCGTGGCATTTGCAGAATTATCTCTGGCTAAGCCGTGGAAAAGCAGGCGAACCTGTTTGTTTAGTGGTCCAGGCTGAGTGGTGGTAAATGGGTAACTGCTGCAGTGCTCAAATTACGGGTGGGTAAACCGTCTTTGCCCTCAGCTATGTTTTGGTGAGAGGTGCTTGTGCTTGACAAGCGAGTGGCAGAGGCGAGATGGTCAAAGTACTGGCCCTTCATTTAAGCAAAAGTTGCCTGGAGTCTTTTTGGCTTTCTCTGTGTTTGTGTCCTCTAAAAAGCTACCTTCTCTGAACTGTATTTGGGAAATCATGATTAGTCTTCATGATGGCAGCTTTTCCAGCTGTTTGTTACTAGGTTCTTCCTCACGATGTTCTTACCAGACTGCTTGTCTCCCTAGGAGAAAAGTTGCTCTTTGGGGGTCCCTCACTATAGTACTAGCTTGCTTTCTTAGCTTTCGTGAAGTACTGATGTGCCCAGTCCAGACAGTTCCCAGCTAATAGGGTTTTCTATATCTCTCCTCCGCTGTTTAAAAGCTAATTGGAGGTTTCTTGCTTTTGTTTATGATGAACAGAGTTACCAGAGACAGGCAGTTATTTCCTCTCTGCCACTTTTATCCACGTAATGACTGTGTTTCTGC